TCGGAAGTTCTCTGATTCTTCATTGGTCAGTTGAGGTTTTGAGGTCGGTATGGGGCCTTTTGCGCCTGTCTTGGTGTTGTCGTTCTCTCGCCCCTCATCTCTCTCTCCCTCTTCGGAGTTGAGACCATTGGCTATTACCTTGTCTTTGTGCCTTGCTCCCTTGGGGGTTTCCTCTCTCTCTGGAGTTGATTGGATTTGACTTGTTGTTGCGTTTAGCCCCATGAGACTTGCTGCTAGGGTTGATTTGTTTGTTTTTCCCTGGGTGGCCTCGGTCTCGGTGGGTTCTTCTTTCCCATATAGGACAGATCTGGGGGTGCCTGCACTCTGGGTTAAATGGCTTAGCTTGGTCTCTCTTATTGACAGAGATGACTTATTCGTCTCCATGGTGGGTTCCATCTTGATAGCTACCTTGTGATTAACTTTGTTTGCTTTCGCTTGAGATTTCTGATCCTTTGCTCTTTAGCTTATCCTTTATCCTGATCCACCAACACAGAGCCCTCTTAAGCCTATACCAGCTAGAGTAATGATGCATGAGCCTATCTAGCGGGCTTTCCCTCATACTCGGGGTAGCCGCGAGGTTTATCCTTTTTTCACAGATTCTTGAGGCAAACGACTGGCTTCTTTCGTTTTTTGCGTCATGCTTCACCTCTGGATCATGCGATGATACCTCACCGTCTATCCGTTGCATATTCCACTCAGCTTTATACGTTTTTAACATGCTAACGCCTTCAAACCACTTTCCGGTGTCCAGTCGCCCAGCTGCTTCTCCTCTTGTTATTACATCAGCCGGATTATCTTCACTCGCAATATAATACCATTGATCAGGTTCTGTCAGCTGTCGGATTGTACTGATCCTGTTGCCTACGAATACTTGGAACCTCCGTGCTTCATTCTTAATGTATTTCAAAACCAGTTCACTGTCAGTCCAAAAATATGACTTGGTTATGCAGAGCTCCAACTCTCGCCTCAATAGACAGTCCACCTTCGCTGATAACACTGCAGCTTGCAGCTCCAAGCGTGGGATCGTAAGTTGTTTTATCGGCGCCACCCTACCTTTGCTCATTACTAAGGCGGTGTGTATTCTGCCTTGCTTACTTATACATCTCATATAAGTACAACATCCGTACGCCTTCTCACTGGCGTCACTGAAGTGATGTAGTTCACATACTGCGTCACGTGATTCGGTCGGCACGATACATCTTGCTACGCTTATAGGTCTCAGGTCTAGTAGTGTTCCCTGCCATATTTCCCATTTCCTACCGAGATCTATGGGCACTTCATCATCCCACGATAGCTTCAGTCTCGTGGCTTCCTGGAAGAGGATTTTTCCTGTTATCACCATAGGACTAATCAGGCCCAGAGGGTCAAACACTGACGAAATCAGGCTTAACATGCGGCGTCTCGTCACCACGCCACCTTGTTTTTCCTTCACTTCAAAAACAAACTCATCGGTCTCAACGTTCCACTTAATCCCTAACGCTTTCCTCTCTGCACTAGGGCACAAGTCCTTTACTCCATTTGCTCGATCACTCACCGGTATGCTCGCGAGAAGGTCTCGACTGTTCACCACGAACTTCGTTTATCTAAATCCGTCCTTCTGTAGCAGGTCTCGTGTTCCTCTTATAATTATTTGGGCTTCAGCTTTCGTTTCGACTGACTTGAGGCAGTCGTCGACGTAGAACGATCTAGTTACTGTGTCACTTATCGCAGGGTCGACATCTCCATGGTTCTTTACCGTGCGTCGTAAAGCGTATGTCGAACTGCTGGCGCACCATACTCCCCCAAATACGTGTGAGGTCATGCGATAATGGATCACGTCTCCCGCACCATCACGCCACAAGAACCGTAGGGCATCTCTATCATATGATGGGATCTTGACTTGCTGATACATAGCTTCTATGTCGGCCACCATTTTCGGATCACCGTATTCAGCTTGGCCTTCGCTCTCTAGCTTATTCTTCATCACCCAAGCCTTTTGCTCCAACAGCAATTTTAGCTCATCTTGTCTTTGTCGTTCCACAGCCTCTAGCTTCGCTGCTTGCTCGGCCTTTTTCTGCATGGCATATGTCTCTGCCATTAGCTTCATCTCTTCCTGTCTCTGTTTTCCTAACACAGCCATCATCTGCTCTTCTTCATTCTTCACTTTCTCGGTGGCTTCTCGTGTCTGCTTCCCACTCTGCGTGTCCTCTGTCTCTATTTCCTGTTTTATCCCCATCTCTACAGGTTGCTGGCCCTGTAAAGCTTCTGGTACCTCACGACCACCGTGACCTGGCACTGTTTGCAGTTCCGGTTGCTTCTGCGATGCCTGCATAAATTCCTCTTGTTGCTGAAAAGCCCTCTCTGTTTCACGATGTTCTTCTTGCCTTCGCTCAGCTTCTTCGTGTTTATTGTAGATTCTTTTTTGTTCCATTCTAATATGTTATCCTGGACGTACGTCTAGGACGCATCGTGTAAATAGGCCTTTAATCATCCCGGTCGGTCATGCGGCTATAATTGACTGGCTCGAGGTGTGGCGTTGCTGGCGCTTTCAGTGCCTATATTACTGGGTCAGCCGTGCGCAACCGCCTAACGCATTTCATTTCGAGGCGTTGTCCGTCCCCATCACCTACGGCGCCGACCAGCGCGAGGAGTGGGACTAGGACGACACTGGGCACACGAGGGACCACGGCTACGAGTCGCCGGAGGAGCACGACTGATGACGCAACGGGATCGATGCCCGCGCGCCTCGGCTCCCCGCGACTCGAGGGGGAGCGACGTGAGCGGCACCGCTCACCCCTCCCTACCGTCCGCGTCCACTCTAGTGTTAGCGACCCGAGTACACCTCCGCGACCGGAGCGTGCGACGGGTACGAGCTGGACACCCCTGCGTGACGCGCTCTGAGGCACAGCGCCGACAGATGAGCCAGCCTCCGCCGAGCGAAGCGACGCGTCCCGGGATGCGGTGCCGACCGACGGGCGTCAGGAAGTCTACTGCGATCGACCATGTAGCCGCGATGCGCGAATAGAATACAATAGTTTATAATTAGTTGGTGGCGGATCGCGTGGTATGTAGTTTAGTTAATTAATTATCCTGGTGGTTTAAAACTTTCGGAAACTAAATGTAAGCGCGAAACCCTATGCTTAACGGCATAGGTTTTTTTTTAATGTAGATTGGACGAGCACATGTTACGTGCCACATCCGTGCGGCACCTATTGTTTTCACAGACGATATTCCAACGTGCCAGTATCACGCTCTCGCACTCGACCAAAATTTTGGTTATATGATCGTGGCGATCACAAGTTTCTTTTAAGGGGGAGTGGTGTAGCGATGATGCGCTCGAGCTCATTAATTAGGCACGTTGCCGAATGAGCGGAGAGCGAGCGACAGCTGGTAGCGGGGCCACAGGTGTTACAGGTACAATTAGCACATTCTGTCTGCCTGCGGCCATGGTGAAGAGCAGATGCACACTGATTGTGTATAGAAGATGAAGCTGTATATTTATACAAAAATGTGTGTGAGGGGGGGGGGGTCAGTGGAAGTGGGATCGTAATAAGAACGCTCTGTGAGCCTATTGCAAACGTGGGAACAACGCCTTGGACATATTACGAGCGTCATAGTCTCAGTGGCAGCACAGTGGACGCCCAGAAAGCGTAGTGGGAGCGCAGTAACGGCACAATAAGAACGGGAGAGGCACGTATGGAGAGCCCAATGAGCGTACAGCAGTCGCAAACCAGTCGCAGAGGACGATTTCTGCGACCCCAAGTCGCTTCTATGCGTTGTTGCTACGTCCACGATACGCTCATGTAGTTCGCTTTGCGCTGCCACGGCGACTGTACTGCGTCATTACACCGCTCATTACAGAGCGCCGACAGGCTACGCTTGTTTTGATTCGGCCCAACACAAGCGCCGAGGTTTGGCGCTCAAGATAGCTCATGGCGACCCTCTTCCGTCCTTGACAGTTTCCACTGCGTCTCAACCAGTTACGAACTTGTTCTCAGAGACCTTACTGCGCTTTTCCTCGCGCTTTCATACTTTTCAGTTCGCAGTGGGAGCGTACGTGAACGTGATCGTGGGAAGGTGTGACAGGGGTTTAACGTGTTGTAAACAAAACGACCATACAGCCATATAAACCCATCGACCAATCAGATTGCGTCTTTCAAAAGCATAGGCTCGACGTCCGTTTCGCAGTTGTTGAGGTTCACGCTTGTCGCACACATTTTCTCTCCAAATTATACTTCTACAGCTTCGCCATGGCACAATGTAACCATGGAGGGGGTGGTAACGGCCCTGTCAGGGTGCGCGACACAACGGCAACCGGACCTATACCACGGCCAATGGTATTGCTCAAGTAAAGGAGAGAGAGAAGAAAACGTTACATATACGTATCAGTATCGTATTCTATACACTCACGCTCACGCACGCGCGAGCACACACACACACACACATGCACGCACACATACACGCACACGCACACACACACACACACATACACACACACACACACACACACACACACACACACACACACACACACACACAGATAAACACACACACACACACACACACACACAGATACACACACACACACACACACACACACTGACAGACACACACACACGCACGCACACACACGTTCACCTGTCAACGCCACCGGCATCATAGCTGTTACAAAACAGACGACGTTTGCGCGGCGTTTGGCGGAGGATAAAGTATGAACGTATTAGTAATACGTGAGATAGAACGTATTATTTCGAATCGAAGAAGATTTCGAATAATTAATTCGAGAACACTTCCTCGTCGCTTTTCCTTAGGTATTTCTGTATTTAGTTAGTTATTTACATATAGCTTATATATATAATTATATATATATATATATTATATATATAGAGAGAGAGAGATAATATATATATATAATTATATTCTATATTATTATTATTACTAGCTGAAACCCGCGCTATGCGCGGGCTTAGTGACTGTGATGCATGTGTTACCAGTACAGTAGTGTTATGTGTAAGGTGTTATATGGAGAGTTTAGTTGTTGCACATGTTTAATTGTTTTTTATGGTTGAGATGTCAATAGAAATACATGTACAATCATGCTTACACGTAACACATTAACCATTTGTTTGGCAAGTACAGAGTGAAATACACACAGCCACACAGAAATGTTTTATTGTATGCTATGTAGGTACTGGTTGATGATACGGACTCCAAAGTTAGAATATAGATAGATGTGAATGGGCTAGCTGGTAGGTCGGGCGACTGATTAACCACTTGGCATCTCATAACTTGATTAACTTGATTAACCTGATTAACTTGTACATCTCATATGGGAAACTATGCCCAAATAGCTACTGAATATTTAACTTCATTATTACATGGTTCGTTCTACTTACATTATTGGGCTTACAAAAATCTCAGACACACACACAGAACACACATACACAGAACAAAACGAAAACAAAACAGCGCCCCCTATTTTCAGGCAAATCTTTACCTTTTTTATTTTATTTTTGTCTTTTTAAGACCGAACAAACGGTTTTCAACCGAGTATAGTTTAGAACCCGTCCCGTGTACTCATCGATCTCTTCTGTGAATTTGGCGCTATTTGGATCCAAACTGACGGAGCCTTTGATTAACATACAACATTCGCCAAATTATAGTAAGATTATTATTATTACTAGCTGAAACCCGCGCTACGCGCGGGCTTAGTGACTGTGATTCATGTGTTACCAGTGCAGTAGTGTTATGTGTAAGGTGTTATATGGAGAGTTTAGTTGTTGCACATGTTTTTTTATGTTGAGATGTCAATACAAAATACATGAGCAATCATGCTTACACGTAACACATTAACCATTTGTTTGGCAAGTACACAGTGAAATACACACACCCACACAGAAATGTTTTATTGTATGCTATGTACGGTTCAAGGATAGAGAACATGGGTCCCAATAAGACCAATGTCATTTACATCATATTCAAATATAATATTTATATCAATATAATAGGTTAGGGTTATTGTTAGGGTTAGGGTTAGGTTTAGGGTTAGGGTTAGGGTTAGAATTAGGGTTAGGGTTAGGGTTAGGCACATTGGTTTTATTGGGACCCATGTTCGCTATCCTTGGGCCCTATGTACTGCCACTGGTTGATGATACGGACTCCAAAGTTAGAATATAGATAGATGTGAATGGGTATAACGTAAACGTAATATTACGTGCTTCGCATGTTTGCACTGTGTGCAGACCAGGTATATTGCGTGCGTTGTGATCGCTTATTTCTACGCATGTTTGCACTCTGTGCGGACGACGTAATATTAAGTGCTTGTGATCGGACCGCTTGTGACAGATCGGCGTCTGATGAAATTCAACTTGTACATCTCATATGGGAAACTATGGCCAAATAGCTACTGAATATTTAACTTCATTATTACATGGTTATTTCTACTTACATTATGGGGCTTACACAAATCTCAAGACACCACGACACAGAACAGAGATACACAGAACAACACGAAATTGAAAACTGTTGAAACAAAACGAAATACAAACAGAACGTAAACAAAACAGCGCCCCCTATTTTCAGGCAAATGTTTACCTTTCTTGTGTTTTTTTGTCTTTTTCAAGACCGAACAAACGGTTTTCAACCGAGTATAGTTTAGAACCCGTCCCGTGTACTCATCGATCTCTTCTGTAAATTGGCGCTATTTGGATCCAACTGACGGAGCCTTTCATTAACATACATACATACATACATACATACAACATTCGCCAAATTATAGTAAGATTATTATTATTTAGTTATTTATTTACATATAGCTTATATATATATATATATATATATATATATATTCTATATTATTATTGTTATTGTTACGTTCCGTGCGTGATAATCAAAACCCCAACTCGGCATCTTTTCCGTTATCTCCAAATTTATTACTCAGCACATGCGTTGAGCGCACGTGCAGGTAAAACTGTAAATACAAAATAATGCACACTAAATATTACGTCGCTCATGTCATGCAATGTTCACTATATTCAACGTTATATAACAGGATTCAAATTATAAGAATTAGACGAGAACCACAGAGAAAAACACTTACAATGTATGGTGCATTCTGGAAGAAATGCGCGAGCGCAACGAACGTATAAATACGGCTCAAGCAGCAAAAGGGCCCGTCACGCACAACAGACGCTTTTATACGCGACAAGGAAACCGCGCAGTCACATGACTAAAACATAATGTATAACGGGCCGAACCGCAGCCAAGCTGAATAGCTTAAATACCGCGCAAAACAAGAACCGAACAGTGCTAGAAATACGACAGTATATGACCCACACTCAACAGAAATGATGAGAAGAAATAACACTCCCCACCTTGAACTACGTTCAACAAAGTAAACTTAGGAAGAGCCCTCTAGTAGCACAATCTTTGAGATC